TTGAAGTTTCTGTGGCAGCACTAGGAAACCTTGGGTTATATACCACCCTTGACCTTATAATTTGTGGGGGCGTTCTAGGGATTATCGGGTTTGGCTCTCATTGTGGGTTCGCCTGGCTGGGTTTCGAATGTTTCGAAGCCTCATTTTCCTCAACCCTACGCTCCTTAATACTGCAATCCTGGAACCCCACCCCAAACCCTAAACCCTTAACCCATTAAACCCTAACCCCTAAACCCTAAACCCTAAGCCCTAAGCCCTAAACCCTAAACCCTAAACTTAGTGAGGGGTCGCTTCCGTCGAGCGACAGACCCCGAACGGCTTGGCCGAGGGCTCACAGCCCGAGCGCCCATACGAAAAGAGCGGGCCGCGGAGAGGTGAGGGTAAAGCCTCACCGGCTTGTCCTGTACAGGCCAACGACCCTGGCCTTGCTTCCGGCCTAAGGGATGGCCGTATCCAGACCACCTTTAGTGTTAACTAAAGTAGAACCCCAAACCTCGGGCCGTTGCCGGCATGGCTTAGGGTTTTGAGGGCTTGCCTGGGCCCCCCTAAGCCCCTGGCTGGACCGGGCCCCTTGCCCCTGTGGCTGGATTCCTCAAGGGGGTCCAGGCAGGCTGGTTGCTCAATTTGGCGTGGGGGGGCTCCACGTCCGGGGGTGTCCGGGGGCGTCCGGGGGGTCCGGGGCGTTCGGGGGCGTCCAGGGGTATGTGTCCGGGCGGCTTGTCTGGGGGGTGTTCCGGGACCCCGCGGGCGTGGTGCGGGACATTTTTTGTTGTTTTTTTTTTTTGTGAACCATCGCGTTGGTAGAATGGAATGCACCTTGGCATGAATTGAACGCCCCCCTTGAAGGGGGTTGGGGGGTGAACCCTAAACCCTAATTGAGAATAGTTTGGGTGGCCGGGGCGGGATTACAGGCAACGCGAGCGCGCGGCCCGGGGCGTTTCACGCCCGAGCGCGCTAAACCCTAAACCCAAAACCCAAAACCCTAAACCCTAAACCCTAAACCCTAAACCCTACACCCTAAACCCTAAACCCTAAACCCTAAGCCCTAAGCCCTAAACACTAGACCCTAGACCCCAAACCCGAACCCTCAACCCTAAACCTTATGTAAACCCACCTCACCTCTTGTCTCGCCCAGTCCCTGGTGCAGCCCGACCGAGAGTGGGTCGCACCCCAAGCAGAGCGCGTGGCAGCCCATCCGGACTCAGGCAGGGGGTTTAGGGTTGGGGTTCGGTGAAAGACACATCCCTACTGCTCCAGCCGCAGTATGGCTTTCGTTCGGGCTTGAGCGTGCCTTGGTCTTCTTTGTTTTGGCTGCAGGGAGTCAGGGGTTTCGCAGCTTTGGTCCTGCACCTACGGGTGTTGGAAGCCATCCTACCAAGCCTACCTCCACGCTTGACATGCTGAAAAGAAGTTGGCAGCGCCTTGGTGCGCCACGGCCTTGCCCTGAATAAGCCCTAAACCCTAAACCCTAAATGCACCCTCATCCCCTGAATGCTCTAAGAACCTGAGGTGGCCTCATCGGACCCACTCGACAAAGCACCCTTGGCCACCCCGAAGCTGAGCTTTTGGGGGTTTGGAGGTTTAGGGTTTAGGGTTAACCAAAATGTGGGAGCGGATTGCGCAGTTGGCTGCTTTCTGCCGTGTTGTTTGCTCAGGCTCTTCAAGCGTTTCTCTCAGGAGGCCTCCTGATGACAACAAGCCTCCTGAGAGAAACGCTTGAAGAGACAGAGCAAACAACACGACAGAAAGCAGCCAACTGCGCAATCCGGTCCCAGATTTCGGTGGAAGGCTTCCTAAAGATAACAAAGGAAACGGCAAGTTTGACTGAAAAAGAAGGAATGAAGAAGAGAAGTGTGTGTGTGTGTGTGAAGCGCTACTCTTTGCCCACGAAAAGAAAACAACGAATGACACTTTGGCAGTAGTACTTCATGGCATCCCACTCCGGGATACCCTATGAACTGAACCCTAAACCCTCTACCCTCTGAACCCTAGACTCGCTGAACCCTTCCATGACCCTAAACCAGCCCTAAACCCTGAACCAACCCTAAACCCTAAACCCCAAACCCTGAGCTGTAGGGGTTGGTAGGGTTCATCGGCTGGTTGACCAGGCCCAGCGCCGCCCTCGCCGCTGAAAGCCGAGCGTCGGAAGAGGAAGAACTCGAACGTCGGTTTGCCGGGGCACCTGGTGGATTCAGCGCTTGGGGTTTTAGGGTTAACAGGGTTTAGGGTTCAGAGGGTTCAGAGCGTTTAGGGTTTAGGAATTAGGGTTCAGGGTTCAAAGGGTTGGGTTTAGGGTCAGATGGGTATCGAGTGCTTCGGGGCTGAGGGAATAGCATGTAGGCGTAGAGGGGCGTATGGGACGTCGTTAGAGGGTTTGGGGGCCTACGACCTACGAAATATGGAATTGCAGGGGGCTTATGGAGCCCCTGCGGCTCAAGGTATTATTGGCCTGTCAGGGTTGAAGCTTGAGAGTTGATGGGAATAGTTACTCATAGCATTCCGTTCTTGCCTCTATAGAATTATGCTAGAATAACCCCTCCCTCCCCCCCAAAGAAAAAAAAACAACCTTCTCCAACATGGGCCCTTAATGTGGTTCTTTACCTCCTTTCAAGGGTTCTGAAGTATGGGCCCTGGGGTTGTTTAGGGGAAATGCAAGGGGTATGTAGGGGGTCCTCTTTTTGCGGGCTAGAGCATGTAAATGCCCTTAGAAGGGTTTAGGGTTCAGGGCAGGTCCCCGTCCTTTACTGGGTTTTTTCCTGATGGTACGCTACACCCTAAACCCTAAACCCTAATCCCTTTCTACGACCTCAAGAACAACCAACCCCACATCGATCCTAGGTGTCCGTCATGCGGCACAAGCCGCCAGCTCAAGGACTCTCCTCGGGCTCAGGGCTCTTTGGGCTCTCTAGTTAGGGCTTAGGGTTTAGGGTTTAGGGTTTAAGGTTTAGGGTTTAGGGTTTAGGGTGGGTTTCGGGTTTAGTTTTAGGGTTTAGGGTTTAGGGTTCCCGATGAGCCGTGGCAAGCCGCCAATCTAGCATGTCCTTGAGCGGCTGAGCGGCCGTTGCAGTGTGAAGGGCACATGCTGTGCCTTTCCAGTTCTCACAAAGACCACTGCCAGCTCCGCACGATGGGGTCAATTTCCCACAATCCCTTCACCTGCACCCTAAACCCTAAACCCTAAACCCTAAAGCTTAGACCCTAAACCCTAAAGCTTAGAAACCTAAACCCTGTGGGGCTGCAGGATCGCGACAAAAAGGGCTTGCTCTGCGCGGCCTGCTGGATGGCAAAGCAGTGAGCCCTGCCACACAGCTCTGCCCTGGAAACAGGCGGGTTTTGGGTTTAGGGTTTAGGGTTTAGGGTCGTAGCGATTGATAGCGACTGTTCTCAGCAGATGCTACATCCCAAAGTTCATGCAAGCGCATTGCAGACTTCTGGTTGTGCTGTCACAGGGCCTGTTCAGGGAACTGGCCATGCATCATCCCACTCCTGTGCAGGAGCATATACCTGCTGGCCTCTTGAGGGCGTGAGGGAGCTTACCTACTTAAAACCCGAGTCCCTGCTGTTTGAAGTCGCCGCGTTCGGCAACTCAAGTCACCCGTGCTAATGCTTTTGGGCCTGGGCCCTCGTAGCTCTCTTTGCAGCTTTTGCCTGCAAAATGTCTCACGGCTTCAGTGCAGCATGCCTTAAGGCAGCCTGCACGTTTAGCAGACCCTGCTTGCCCAGCTGCAGCGAGCTAAGTGCGACAATGCAGCTGGCAAGCACCATCTGCGTTTACCCTATGGTTTAAAGTAGCAATCGCTTCCCCGAAGGTTTCAGGACTTCCTTACAACACCAACCTTCGAGTTCACACAGAAACCTTCGTGGGGCCACCGCCGGTTTTCAAAGGCAGTTGAAAGGGGCATCGCCCTGCGTGGCAGGGTGGCTAGACCTAAAATTATATGGACTGCGTTTATAGGTGCCTTGCAAGTCCATTGCACCGTGCGCGGCTGCAAAGCGCTAATCGGGCAATCTCTAAACAAAGCAAACCTTGCGGAGCCTAAAAATAGGCCCCCAATTATTCGAAACAGGTCTTCCTGTCACGTGCCGTGGCCTTTCTTTCTCATCAACAGAGACGTTTGTGGGTGTGGGGGAGGGGGGTGAGGGTGGGGGGCAGGGGAACCCGAACCCTGGATCGAGTATCATCAGCATTTTGGGCCATGGACACAAAGCATCCAGACAAGCTTGGAGCATGCTCCGGACGATTCAGTGAATAGTAAGGTGAATACGATCAGATAGCAACAGGAGTTGGGGGCGGGGGGGCTGGGGGAGACGCAGGCTAGGAAACCCCCATCAAAAACCTTCGAGCTGGCGGCTCAGGGCTTCTTGTGTTGCGGGTTTTGCCGCAGAAGAAGGTCAGACGGGACATGTGGTCTCATCGTAGATGGTTGCACGAAGGCGATCTCAGATGCTGAGCAATAACGTCTTGCGTCTGGGCCGCGAAACTTTGTCCAAATGGAAGCCCTAAAACCTAAACTCTACACCCTAACGTGCCCTGGCCTTCCACGCCCGAAGAGACTGCCAACTGGGTTGCTTGAAGCGTTTCTGCATCACGTCCGAGATGTTTGCAGAAAGACCCGAGCGCGTTGCTCGTGCATGTCGCCGCCGAGCGAGGACAAAATCTGCGGAACCACCCTGTTCCAATTATTAAGGCCCCCATATTAGTTTTTAAAGTTTAGGCTTTAAACTTTCTGGATTTGGCCTCACCTACCCCTTTGGCCCCTCAGCACTAGAGTCACTAGAGCTCAACATTCTGGTCGTGTTCGCTATCTTGCCATGGGCCGATCAGTGGGTTTTAGGGTTTTGGGCTTGAAGGGCCTGGCTACTTCACAGTGCACGTTTATGCCGTTCCTCTTCAACCCCCCTCACCCTACAACCCTAAAACCTACTGACCCGAAACCCTACTAACCCTAAACCCCCAAACCCTAAACCTCACCAACCCTACCAGCCCGAAACCCGCCCAGGCCTTCGCCACTCTGTTACGCCGGACTGCGCGCGGCCTGGCGGCCGAGGATGCATCTGGCCCCAGAGAGGGTTTTGGGGCTTTGGGGTTTAGGGTTTAGAGTTTAGGGTTTAGGGTTGGGGGATTTGGGGTTTAGGGTGATTGGGTGAGTGGGCTCACGGGTTTAGGGTGAGTAGGTGACTGGGTTCAGGGTTTACGGTTTAGGTTTTAGGGGATTTGGGATTTAGGGTGAAGGGGTGGGTGGGTGATTGGAGTGTTTAGGGTGAGTGGGTTCTCCTTGGAGTGGCATCAGGGCTTTCGGTTGCGAGTCTTTGCACGCCGTTAGGGTTTTGGTGTTTGCATAGGGCCCCGTTTTGAGCTTGACCTGGTGAGGAGAACCCGGGCAGCCCAATCCCTGAAACGAAGCAATATCCCTTGACTTGGAGTAGGGATCCCACCATGCCTGCATTCCTTACCTTGAGAGGTATTCGCGGTCCTCAAGTTGTAGTTCCCGTCTTTTTGGCATGCCTAGCTTCATCTTCATTGTGAGGGATAGGTTCCCTTGATCGGTGTACTCCTGAAGACCTAAACCCAAAGCCCTCTCCAACGCTTATGGCCCTCAGCTCAGGACGGCTTCGCCTGCGCCCTCTTCGAGGCGCCTTTGAAGATCTGGAGTTTAGGTGTTTGGGTTTAGGGGGTGGTGGGCTACTATTAACACCCTACGTCTGCCTTGAAGGGCTCCTATGTTTCGACGGCGGAGGGCTCAAATTGTGGCCACTGTCATGGTTGCTTCAAACCCGAAACCCTAATTAACCCCTAGACCCTAAACCCCAAAACCTTGAACCCTAAACCCTAAAACCCTAAACCCTAAACCCTAAAACCCTAAACCCCAAAACCTTGAACCCTAAACCCTAAAACCCTAAACCCTAAACCCAAAACTCATCACAACTTCGGCAGTGCCGGGAGGCATACAAAGCCCTCGAGCAGAAAGGGGCCATCCTCGTGTGGCAACCCTACGACATCGCTCGGGCCCGAGCGTGTCATATAGGGGTCGGCAAAGGCAGTAATGGTATTCCCTTATGGTCCCTTTACAGGTATACTAGAATAACCCCCCCCAAAAAAAACCTATTCTGATTATTCAGGCCACAATAGTATATGCAGAGAGGCTGGCAAGTATTGAGTTCCCCGCTCTCTTGCTAGTATTGCTTTTGAGGGTTTAGGGTTTCGGTTTAGGGTTTAGTGTTTTTGCTTAGCTGTTTAGTTAGCATCATGACTTCTGTTCTGGCCTTGCGCTGGGCTCAGCACACCGATGAAGAGGGCTTGCTTTTGCCAATGTTAGGTTGAGATTGTTCACATCCCTAAGCACCAAACCCCGAACTTCGTACCCTAACAACCCAAACCCTAAGCCTTTAAACCCCAAACCCTAAACCAGAAACCCTACACTTAAAAGCCTACCGCCAAAACTGAATCCTAAATGCCAAAACCCAAACCCTAGCAACCCAAACCCTAAACTCTTAAACCCTTACCCGCCAAACCCTCTCAAACCCTAACCCCAAACCCTAAACCCCAAATCTTAGACCCTAACCCCAACCCGAACCCTAAATCCTAAACCCCAAACCCTAAACCCTAAATCCTAAACCCCAAATCCTAAACCCCAAACCCCAAACCCTAAACCCTTTGAAGCCGCAGAGGATCTGACCGTGACAAGCCTGTGGCCTGACGCTGCCGTTGGGAGCCCGGCCTTCTGCTCACTCGTCTTTTCCGAGGGTTTAGGGTTTAGGGTTAGGGTTTAGGGTTTAAGGTTTTGGGTTTTGGGTTTAGGGCTTAGGGTTCAGGGTTACCCTTTTTGCGGGTTCCTAGAGATTGTTTTGGGATATCTCAGAAGGGACCCCTATTTGGGGTAATGCCCAAGTGAGTCCTGCATATTGAAGTTGTGGGGTCGACGAGGCAAGCCCTGAGCCCAAAAAAGCCAAGCTTTTCGGTGGGTACGGTGCACCTGGGAACCCTTAACCCTGAACCCTGAACCCTAACCCTAAACCCTAAACCCTAAACCCTAAACCCTAAACCCTCAACCCTCAACCCTCAACCCTCAACCCCAAACCCTCAACCCTAAACCCTAAACCCTAAACGCACTCCAAGGCGCCAAGAGCTCCAGAGCAAGGTGTGGCCAGGGTGCTGGTGGACCGCTTCCTGCCTCCTATGGTTACACAGAGGGGTTTAGGGTTTGGGGTTTGGGGTTTTGGGTTTCGGGACGTATGAGGTCTGCCACGTTTCAGAGCCAGCTGACATGCAGAGTCTGGGTTCAAAAAAGGGTTTCCGTTTTAGGGTTTGGGGTTTAGGGTTTGGGGTTAGGGTTTGGGGTTTGGGGTTTGTAGCCGGTATGATAATCTGTTCTAACTGTAGGACTATAAGATGCAGGAGGTAAATGGCCTACAAACCTATGACTTTTGACCCAAATCAGGGGGGCGGGGTTCTACGGGCCTGGGAGGGCTTTGGGTTTAAGGAACCAAAAGAAGGCGGAAGGGAGAGGGGTGTAAGGGGTTTCATGTGGTCCAATCATCCCAAAGAAGCCTTCGTAAGCCCCAAGAAGGGAATGCTTACCCTTATGAAGGTTACAACATTCATCCGCAAACTCAGCCACTAAGCCCAGCCCCCCCCCGCCCCCCCCCGCAGCTTCGCACATGGAACCGTCAATGCCTGCGGCCTTAACCAATACGAACTGCTGCGTTACCTCTAATCCCCTAAAATGAGGACACAGTAGTAGTCCTATTACCCTACTCCCGTACAATGAGGAGACAGTAGTAGTCCTACAATAGTCATAGAGTCCATATTTGGGGTGGTTTGGGGGGGGGGGGGGGGGGGTGAGGCCAACCAAGAAAACCCGCACTGTTAGCTTCATCAAGGGTCAACCAACCAAGGCTCCCTGCGCTTAGCAGCCTCACACTCAGCGTTACTTGATTTCGGAGGGTGCGGCACCCATTGCTTAGGTTATCTTGGTAGCGTTTACACCCTAAACCCTCAACCCCTAATGTAGAACCCTCAACCCGAAAGTCCCCTTTAGAGCAGGTTGTTTTTTCGCTGATATCCACACCGACCGGAACATGTAGCAACGTCATCTTCGTTATTCGTTTGGTTATGGCGCAAAAAATATGAATAGCCCTAAAATACGATCTTGCTTATTGTAGGAAAAACCCCCAAAAGGCTTCCTTGAATTGTCTGAAGCAAGCCCTAAACCCTAAACCCTAAATCCTAACCCTAAACCCTAAACCCTAAAACCCTAAAACCCTAAAACCCTAAAACCCTAAAACCCCAAAACCCTAAAACCCTAAAACCCTAAAGCCCTAAAGCCCTAAAACCCTAAAACCCTAAACCCCTAAACTCTAAACCCTAAAAGACCCTGGAAATCTGGTGTCATGTCACCGCAGACTGCCTCTGAGAACTTCATTTCCATCCGAGTCCGGGGTTCAGGGTTTGGGGCTTCGGGCTTACTAGTGTTTAGGGCTCCCCTTGATGTAGGCCCCTGTCCTTCTCTCATGGCCCCAAACCCTAAACCCCAAACCCTAAACCCTAAACCCTAAACCAGTGAGGACCCAGACTTCGGCATGGGCCGCCTGCTGGGGACCCTTCCGGAGGGGAGGCTTCGCTTGCAAGTGCCGGCTTAGGGCGCAATTGGGGTCTGCTGCCGCAGTCTTAGGTGAAGAAATGCAGAAAGCCACCCTAAGAACCCTACAAACACCTCTGAGTCTAAGTTCTTACACCACAAAAAGCCCTAAACCCAAAACCCCGAAGCCCTTCAAAGCCGCAAGCTTGTAGATTAAAGACCCTAAGCCCTATAAACCCTGAACCCAAAACCCTGAACCCTGAAGCCCTTCAAAGCCAGGCCAAGAACGGCCATGGCCACATGGTCGGCAGATGTGGCGCGCGCCTGAGCCATGGGGGTGCAAGATAACGGATGTCATTCTGTTTGCATGTATATGGGGGTATGGGGGGTTTCCGAAGATCGGGGTCCTTATTATAAGGGTCCCGTATTTTCGAGAATACGTAAACCCCCCATATATAGGCCAATAGGTACAGTACGTTTGTTTGTATGTATCCAAATTGGACAGAATAGGTAGAGGTACCCTAGGGCCCCGCGGGCCATCTTCCAACAGTCTTCCCAAGAGGCCCTGGCATGTAAGAGCCCTTCAAACCTTGCATCCTTAGCCCTGGCAACCCTAAACCCCACGTTTCCAACGCATTCCCAGCCACAAGGTACTCTCTTGCGGCGAGCGTGGCGAGTTCATGGTGGCAGATCGGAGGCAAGGGGGGCTGGCCACCGAGTCTTCGGAAGTTGAGGGCTCGATGGTTTGGCCCTGCTCAGCATTGAGGGCCCACACCCGAAATCCCCAAAGCCCTACAAATGCGGGACAAGGGCTAGGTTCCGAAAGGTCTGAGACCTCTGCCAGCGATCCAGACGAACGCCGCAAGGACGGACCCCCCCATGCCCTCGTCAGAGTTTCGCACCTGAAGGTGGACGATCTCCGATACTGGAAGAAAACACCCGCAAGGGCCTATATTTTTTCAGACCCGCCTCCCCAAGTAGACCGACACCTCAAGCCCCTCGGAAATTGGTGGCAGGTTGCGGAGCGAGGTGCTCGAGGCCGACGGCGAGCGGGGGACACAGTGGGAGTTTCCAACTAGCAGAAGGGTGAGGGGTGGTCGCCGGTGTTTCCGGGAACAGAATAAGCTATTTAGGGTTTAGGGTTTAGGGGTTTAGGGTTTAGGGTTTAGGGTTTAGGGTGGCAAACGGGCTTGCAGATGATAGGAACCGGTCTGCCCACATCCCGGCCTAAACCCAAACATCCGCCTCTTTTGTGTGCGAAGAGTCAACCTGAACTGCGCTCAGGTGCCAAAACTAGCTCTCTGCATGTCTCTGTCATGTATAATAATTCAGAGACTAGGACCCAGGATTTGCTATAGAAACCGTGGCCAAGAGGTGACTGTCATTCTCCACAAGTAGCTAGCTACCAGCTAGTTCTCGTCTCAGTTAGCGTTTATAGGGCAGAATGTAGGCCTTCTAGGCCTGGTTCCCTTTTTTGTTGGGGGGGGGGGGGGGGTTCGGCTCCCTTTTGAAACCCTGCCTTCAAGCAAATCTTAGCAGACCTGTGAGCCGACCAACATGAGGTCGGTCTCGGCGCTGGCCATGACGCAGCGTGCGCAGCTTCCTGAGTTTAGGGTTTGGGGTTTAGGGTTTAGGGTTCGGAGTTGAGGGTTGTTTGCGCTCATAGTCGTGGGCTGGAGAATGTCCCAAGCGTTAGCGAATTTCGACCTACTCGGTTACGCCGTCCCTATGGGGCCTTAACCCTAAAACCCTAAACCCTATGCCCTAAACCCTATGCCCTAAACCCTAAACCCTAAACCCTAAACCCTAAACCCTGAACCCTGAACCCTGAACCCTGAACCCTAAACCCTAAACCCTTCCGAGGCTCCGCCTCCTTTTCTTCACCTGTGCCTGCCGTGGGCAGGGCCCCGAACCATTCCGTGCTTGGCCCAGCGATCGGACGATTTCTGTGGCTCTGGTTCTGATCTTTGGGGGGTTTAGGGTTTGGGGTTTAGGGTTTAGAGTTTCAGGTTCAGGGTTCAGGGTTCAGGGTTCAGGGTTCAGGGTTTAGGGTTTAGGGTTTAGGGTTTAGGGTTTAGGGTTTAGGGTTTGCCTTCCCACAAATGCGGCAATGCAGCGAGATGCAGCGAGCACATAAGAACCTACGGGTCAACCATCGGCATATGTCTCGTGGGTCCTGGTATGACATGGAAGGCTACAGCCAGAACCTTCGTACACCTGCATGCCCAAAATCCTCCCTTCAAGGAGATCGCGGCTCTGCACCAGAGAAGCTCTAGGCTCTAGCCACTTTAGCTTTCCTGCAGAAGTGGGCGGCACATCCCTGAAGACCTTAAGCCCACAAAAACCGTCCCCATCCTGATCCTCATCGAGTTTTTTTGCCCCTAAAACCCCAAGCCACCCAGGCTTCTCCGTTCTGCAGTTCCCTCGTAACCTCGCGCCCGAGGCGACAGGGTTTCAGTGGCGGGGAGAATACGAGAATTCAAAAGGCGACATTAGATTCTAAAATGCCCAGGAGTGCCCTTACTCGTTTCCTTAGGATTCCTGCTAAGTTCTAAGCAACTAAGGGGCTCTGAGGAAAAGCTACCTCATACTAACGTAATCAAGCCACTGTGCTGGTGCTTGTTGTCTGGGCTATGGTGACGGTTGAAAGTTCAGAAGTCTTTCGATGTTTCGATGAGACGGATGATGCCAGCACTGCTGCACGCGCCCCCCCGGACGCGCGGCCCGTTGTCGTGCAGCGGCGGTGGGGGCGCAGTCGATCCTACAAGAAGGGCACCCAATGGGTCTTAATGACAATGGAGCCAATAGGCAGGGACTAAGAGGGTGTCTGGAGAACCCAACATCCCATCTGAAGCTTTTCCTTAAAGCATAAACGGGTCCTTAATGTGTATATACATATCTTATGTATATTCATATACTCCCTGATTGTGTATATTCATATACTCCCTTGTTATGTCTATACACATACTCCTTGGTTAAGGAGTATTGAGCTCTGTGGGTGCAGTTGCTGGAGCCCTCAGGACACGCCCTGGGCCACCGTCACGATCCGCGACAGTGCGGCTCGGTAGCATCCTAGCGGTGCCCTCCGAGTTTAGGGTTTAAGGTGTAGGGGTTAGGATTTAGAGGGCTCAGGAAAATGTTTCTTAAACCCTACTAAACCATAAATACTGTTCATCATGTTCTAGGATGCCCAATCGCATGCTCATTCCCGTTTTAGGCAAGAGGTTCCCTGAATAAACCCCATGGAGCAATCAACGGCAGCCTGTTTATTCCTCCGAGAACCGAGTTTACGATTGCATACGGGCCTAAGCACGGCGTCACTCTGACAGGTTCGAGCACCGGACTTTGATGCTTCACAGCAGCATGTGAAAAAAAAGTAGCCCTGGCTGGCTTCGAGATCTTCACTGTACGAGCTCTATACTTCGGATGTCCCTCCGGAAGGTCATAGGGCCACAGAGCTCTTACCCTAAACTCTTCACCCGCATTGCCTGACATGCCACTTGCGACCTCAATTCCCCAAACCCTGAAGTCCCCAAGTCTCCAAGTCCCCTTCGTGTGCCTTCTGAGGTGCCTTGGAGGAGCCTCCATCGGCACCCTGAGGTCCCTCAGCAGGGCTGATCGGATCTGGGAAGGGGGTTCGGATTTAGGGTTTCCTGTGAATGTTCATCTTGGGTGCCCTTTGTGGAATACTGGAAAATACATCCATGCCTCACCTTAAAGGAGGACCTAGTTATTCAGGTGAGCCCAACCGACTATGTCGCACCTATTCGCACCTCTTCTGAACTTGCAGTGGTTCTTAAGCTTGAAGGGGCCGAAGGCCCGGAAAAGCTCGTTGCTGAGGGTACAATCCTAAGCGACTTCCCCCCCTCGAAAAAAATTGACAAACCCAAACATTTAGCCTTGCTGTTGGCTGCCTGGCCGCGATGAAGTGTCAGAAAACTGAGCCGGGCATGCAGTGGTCAGGTGTACCAACCACTGCCGCGACTCCGTGCCGTGAAGCTAAGCATGGCAGAGCTCAAGGCGCTGCGCTTGGAAGGCCGCCCCCCCTAAACCCTAAACCCTAAACCCTAAACCCTAAACCCTAAACCCTAAACCCAGTGCTGCGGGGTGCGTGAGTGGCATCAGGTTCTGGGGACGTTCGAGTTGACTTTGTGTTTCGTGATCTTTGTGCCAGCACTTACATCATGATTGGTATTGCTAGTTTTGGGTTTAGGGTTTAGGGTTCAGGGTTCAGGGTTCAGGGTTTGATGGATCCAAACAGTGCATAGTACCGTTCTTACTGAGTGCCCGGAGCAGGAGCCATCGTGGGCGAAGACTTGGCGGGCGGCCAGGCTGGTTGCCGGGAGGAATTAGTCAAAATCGGTCTGCTGCAGTCGAACCTCAAAGCCTCAATTCGCTGTTGTTTGCATCACGCTGGGGGGGGGGGGGGGGCATTTGTGTGAAGCGGGCTTAAACACTCCACGTGGGAGGCCTTTGTTTTGGGGTACCCAGATTACAACACTCCAGATGACCGTTTTCGAGGTCCCGATTTGTATGCAAAGAAGGAGTTTTAGGGTTTAGGCTGCAGAGATAAAACGTCAGGTAGCAGGCACTGCGAAATCGTTGGCACAGGTGTCAAAAGGTTGGCAGCTGTGCCGGGGCCCGAGAAATTCCGGACTCGGATGCTTTGGAACCCTAAACCCTGAGCCCTATACAAACCCTAAACCCTAACCCTAAACCCTAAACCCTAAACCCTAAACCCTAAACCCTAAACCCTAAACCCTAAACCTAAACCGGGTATCTCTGAAACATGGGCTTCCCACCGAAACTCAACTTGTCCAGAGGCCCAGGCGCCGACTTGCCCACAGCTGTGCCGCCTGCCCCTCAGCATTTTCAGCGCAACGCGTGCCAGGGTTTAGGGTTTAGGGTTTAGGGTGTAGGGTTTAGGGTTTAGGGTTTAGGTTTAGGTTTAGGGTAGAACGTGGAGAGGGTTCATGGTTCTGGACTTATAAGGGTTTTTGTGGCGTTGGGTGAGATGTGTGAAGGACCGCGACTTTCGCAGCGGGACTCCTCGGGGTGGATTCAGATGCCGGCACCTCAGAGCAGGTGCTCTGCCAAAACACGGAGGAGTTTTACCCATCGCAGCGGTTCGAGACGCGAAGCCTCAGCCACTTTCATGTCTGCTGCCCCTGCTTTTTCTTCAAACGGTTAAGAAGCCTTCTTCATGAGCTCCCAGCGACGTCCATCCGCCGGATCACTGGCGCATGTACTGTAGTGCCAGGCACTGAAGTCACCAGAAGACTCTGAAGTGCCCGGAGCCCAGAACCATGCATTTGTATCTAGCTGTCTCGGAAGAAGCTGTCAAGGCAGCACGTCACCATGTCCCCAAGGGGAAGATGGACAAAATGGTAGGGCTCCTCACTCCGCAGAACAAGGGGGGCCCTTTTTGGATTCCAAGGGCCTGACCCACAACCCTAAACCGGAATCCTCCTGCGCCACCAGGCCACAAGGGCTGGCCCAGCTGATAAGCCGCAGCAAGGAGGTCCATCAACCGCCGTTGTTCCTGAATTGTTCTGAAGAAGACATGCGGCTGCCTGGAGCAGAGAAGTCACTATAAGTGAATAGATACAATCATTCGTCACGCACCTTCAAGTTCATGAAGAGTATCTGTCAACATAGTACGAATAACTAAGTCAACCAGCCTGAGCAGCACCCCGTCGCACAAAGAGGGTTTGATAAACAAAAAAGAAGAGAGACCTTTTCTTAGACCCTCTTTGTTTGTTTTTTGAATACAAGTCCTCTTTGCTTAAACCCTCTTTGGGCTTTTTTTTATACAACACCCTGAACCCCTAAACTTTTTACAACACCCTAAACCCCTAAACCCCTAAACCCCCACACCCTGTCTAGGACTTCTGTTGCGGCAGGAGTCCGCCACCCTCATCTTCGACACCGCGACCCCAAGCGAGCTGAAGGTAAAGGTGCCCACCAAGCGGGCACCGGGCCCAGACTTTAGGGTTTAGGGTTTAGGGTTTAGGGGTTTAGGGGTTTAGGGTTTAGGGTTTAGGGTTTAGGGTTTAGGGTTAGGGTTTAGGGTTCTCTTCGAGTTTGGGGTTTATGGTTTTGGAGTTTAGGGGTTTTGGGTATTGTTGTTTTTTGGGCCGTTATTCGTGCTAGGTATCGCAAGTTATGTGCCAGCTCATGTTTTTTTGCAAGTTGTGCTCATGTTGCTTGATGTAGGGGTACTGGTATGTGGGGATGGATCTAGATTGTGGGCCCTTTTGGTACCGTAAACCGAACCCTAATGCCCGAAACTCAACTATAAGGAAAAGACTACAAAAGAGTCCCATCAACGACCCAGAATCTGGCTCAGCTCCCATGATCCCATGTACCAGACTTCGTCTGAGGCGTTGACTGCCGACCTCTGCTTCCAGGCAGCTGCCGTCTGTTCCGAAAGGATACCCTGCTCCCTGTTTCGGTACCCACTTCGAGGTTCGTAGGAGCGTTATAAGTATAGTAAAAATCCACTTAATCAGGAGATGTATATATATATATATAGATATAGATATAGATTGTAGATATAGAGCTATGGCTATTCTACATGACCCTACATGTGCTCCGCCAAAGGCTTTACCCATGGACCTTCAACATTGCTCGGGGTTCGGTTTTTGGAAGTTGCTTGTGCCCGAAACCGAGAACCCTAAACCCTAAACCCTAAACCCCTAAACCCTAAACCCTAAACCCTAAACCCTAAACCCTAAGTAAGCAGGCGCGTGGTGAGCAAGACTTCCTAGCGGAAAGCTTGGAGGTGCTGCGGCGCTCAGAAGGGCTTGGGGCCTTTGCAGCTGCAATGAGGTCAGGGTTTGGGGTTCAGGGTCTGGGGTTTGGGGTTTAGGGCTTGCGGGGCCTATAGGGTTTAGGGTTTTAGGGTTTTAGGGTTTTAGGGTTTAGGGTTTAGGGTTTAGGGTTTAGGGTTTAGGGTTTAGGGTTTAGGGTTTAGGGTTTAGGGTTTAGGGTTTAGGGTTTAGGGGAATCCGTCTGATCAGGAGCACTAAAGACCCCGATGTAGGATGGCCCCCATGTGGTTGCATGACCTGTGTGTGCAGATGAGAGCTCCCCAACCTTCTGTCAAGGCCCCGGCGGGCGCACATGCAGACAGAAGCCATGCTACTGGGTTCGGGACTCACATGGAGGATTGGCAGCCCAGGGTAAGGGTGTGTGTGTGTGTGTGTGTGTGTGTGTGTTGGTTTTTGTTTGTTGGTTTTTGTTTTTGTTTCTCTCCGGATTGAAATTTCATGGCTTCAAGCTTTCCTGCAGGGGGGGGAGGGGGGCTTTCGAGCGAAGCTGCTGGGCTTGGGGTCTTGAGCTGTAGGGCAGCAGGGATGACCCGACTGGGTCCGTTCTGCACCATGAGTCCATTCCCTCGTTCTCCTACCCTAAACTACTATTTGCTTAAGAACCCCCCCAAAAGAGAAAATAAAAATAGATAATGATAATAATCCCTGTGTTGCTCTTATAAGGAGGATTTTTCCACCTTTCTTTTTTTTTTTGGGGGGGGGGGGGGGGATTCTTGAGCGAATTGTAGTAAAGCCCTGAGCCCCCCCCCCCCCCCCGCCCTCCTTGCCGAGCTTCCCTCGAAAAGTCAGGTGCAAGCCTTGCACGCTTGGCCATCCAGAATGAGGTTGCCGGGTGCCTAGCCTGAGGCTTGAGGGTTGCGGCTTTAGGGTACCCTGAACCCTGAACCCTAAACCCTCAGGTTTCTGGGTGCGTCGTTGGACTAGCGGACGTCGGCGCTCTGAATGCATGGTCATGGTCAAGCCAAGAGTGTAGGGTTTAGGGGGCTCGTTGCTTCCTAAGTTGAGTGTGGTTGAGTGCGGCGTGCTTCGTTCTCAGGTTACACCGAAGCCGCCTAAGCCCTAAACTCCCAAATCCCTCGAAGCCTCAAGAAGCTCAAAAGCCCAAATCCAGACTGCCAGACCCCCAAGCATCCCAAAGCCGTAAAATCCCAAGCCCTAACTAAACCCCAACAAGAGATGTATGCAAAGAGCCAACAAATACCTAATGACCCTAAAGCCCTACAAAGCCTCCAACCCCAAACCTCCGAAACCCTAAAACCCGAATCCTCAAACCCTAAACCCTAAACTCCCTAAACTCCCTAAACTCCCTAAAAACCCTAAACCCTCGCGAGGCGCCGTTGGAGTGGGTGGATGCCGCCACTGCCCTGGGGCAGGCGGAGCAGGCGACCCACCAGTTCTTGTGGTTTCCGGCAAATTTCGGTGCTTAAGGTGTGGGGCCCTAAACCCCGAAACCCCTAAACCCCGAAACCCTTAAACCCCTAAACCCTTAAACCCCAAAACCCCTAAACCGTAAACCCTGGTGTGTTTTATTATTTCGGGTTTTTTTGAGGGGGGTGGGGGGGTTGGGCATTTTTTTGGCTTAAGGTTGTTTGGGTTTGGAGGGCTTGCAGTCTATGCGGGCATCTTCAGTTTTACGGCTCGTGGGGTTTTGGGCTACGGCCAGGGCTTTTAGGTTTTGGGGGGCTTTCATGGCTCTTGGGGTTTGGGGTCCACGCGAACCCCTAAAAAGGGTTTCGGGTTTAGGGTCTGGGAATTCTTCGTCCATGTGCTTTGATAAGGTTTCTCGTGGCTCAGGGTGTTTGACGCCAATCTTGGGAGCTCATTCATGCGCCGTTACGACCCACGTCGGGCTCGTTGCGGTTCAATGTTGCCTGCGCGCAGCCTTGACAGTGGGAAACTGGCAGGTCCTTCACGGCTGCTCGAGGAGCTTGCAGCAGCTTTACTGCCCGAAGCTTAGGCGACAACCCTCAGGGCTTCAAGGCTTCAAGCAGATGCACGTCCCTTCCTCTTAAGTTGCCCAAGCAACACGAGCAAAAGATAGCTTCGACTCTGAAAACCTACTCTGATCAATGCTCGACCGAGAGGCTTTGTCTTCGCAAGACACCGCACCCCCCTTCCTTGCAGGGCGATGCCTCAAATGCGAAAGCTTAGCATGTCTTGGCTGCACTGTAGCACTGTAGCCGCTCTTTGGTGGGTCTCACGACCGCAGGCCCTGGCCCTGTCCTGTTGTCATTGCCGCCATGTCCGCGTTGGCTTGGCTTCAGGGAGTCATTGTCAGTCTTGTGAACCCTCGCTTCACGAACTTCAACAAGCCCTTGCTTCTTGCATGTTTGGTGGCGGTCTTCTCGGTCCTGTGCTTTTTGCCGGTACTGGCATGGAATCTCATGGCTGAGACGCAAGTTGAGAGCGACAACAATGCTTACGAGGTCGCCCTTGTCACTGGCAACATGTTTGAGCTGAAAGACTTCATGAAAGGCTACGCGAAGCTTCCCGAGCGATGCACGGCCGGTAGCGCCAGTAGATTGACACATTTCATAGGCAAAGGACTGTTCGTGTCAGAGGACGGCCTTACACGAACGGAAAGGACCTGCCACTACGAAGTGTGTATTCTTGAATCCTACTCCACTCCGTTTGGAACTAACTGCTGCTGACCAAGCTCTCTGCTACAACCAGACAATCCCCCAGGGCTGGTGCAAAGTCGCAGTGCTCCCCAAGGCCTATCGCTGGTTGGACGCGTGTTGCTCTGGCATGTCGGCTGGGTGCTCGGCCGACACAGACTTTTGGGGGGATAGCTTTTGGAGAAGTCTACTCTGCATGCGAGACCGGGCGAGCTACGTGGACTACTACGACTCGATGGTGGAACTCCAACCTAGTGGGCCGAATATAAGTGACTTCTACATGTGCCTGGGCTCCACCTCCAAGTATATGGGTTATGAACAGAATGCGGAGATCAAGAAGTGCATGGACACCTCGGACCTTGATAACAGAATCGCAAGTGGGTGGCAGGCTGGCGAGCCAGATCTGCAGGGCGGCTTGAAAGACATCAAAATGGTCATGGGCAATGTGCTGACCTTGAGGCTTGGACTTCCTCCGGATCTCTTGGAATGGTCTGAGGGGTTGGTGGGCCTTTACTACAAGTAATTAGAACTTACACCACTCTGGTAGACTGGTCATTCCCTTTGTTTACCTTTCGGGGGTTGGCCCTGAGGCTCGGCTGGACGAAGAACGAACGCATCGTGACCTACTCCAAGACCCCCCGCCTCACAGCATTCGGTAACTCGCTGGCCTACACGGCCTATATCGAGGCCGAGACTGAAGCTTCGTCAAGCTAACATTTGGGACTCAGCATGCCACAACCTGAACCTGAGCCTCGAGACGCTTGGCACCCCAGACTCGCAGATCCAAAAGCGGCCCTGAAATCCCGGCAATGTCCTGAAAGCTGCTGTCCAAAGCAAAAATCAGCACGCCCCCTCCCCCCATAAAAAAAGGAAAATACAAGAAGAAAAAGAACAAGAACAATAAATGAAAGCAGGCAGCCAGGCCCTGGTGAGCCTAAACCAGAACCCGCCACTCTAGACTTGTAGACCCTTCCCGGTGCTCTGCAACAACCAAACTCTGCACGATACGCCACCTAGGACTCCGAGTAGGCCCCTTTTTCTAAGGGTTTAAGTTGGCTTAAAAACCCCTTTCAACCCCAAAAGGGGTACTTCCTAGGTCACTCTTGAGTCTAGACCCTGAAGGTGGTGGTGACCGTCGTTCTTATTCTCCTGCTGCGTGGCCTCGGCATCCTCAAGCAGACCGCCTCGGTCAGTTGGGGAGCCACTACCGCAAAAGGGCTGGGGGTTTAGGGTTTGGGGTTTAGTTTAGGTTTTAGGGTTTCGGAGTCCTCTTCGCTTTATTTGTGATGTTGCGTGTGTGGTGGGAGTGTGTCACGGCCGCGGGGAGGCAGGGAGGAAGTGAGGAGTGGGGCCCTGGTGGGCGAGGGCGCTCAGAACATCGCGCAGGTCTGTTGCGGATTCGGGTTGGCGATTGGGAATCGGTCAGAGGAGAGGGCGTGGGTTATAGAGCTCCTCGTTGCCCCGTCTACAGCCAAGGCGAGATCATGAGCGAAGTGCACAACTCCCAGAAGGCTCTTGATTTGGTCCAATGTCCTGAATCGCCGGTATCCGCCAGCCTGTGGGGCTCGGTCCCTAAACCCTAAACCCGAAACCCTACAAGGGTTTCCCTGCAGAGGCCGACGAAGAGTCCGAAGCGCGCCTCCGCGCTGAGCTCCAGGCATCAGGGCACCAGGGCGCCACGTAAAAGGCCCCCAACACCCTAGAACCCTAAGCCCTCCATGCAGCCCCCCCCCTCCCCCACCCCCGTCCCACAGCCCTCCACCCTCCCCCACGCACCCAGGCGGAGCTCGAGAAGCTCCGCTCAGAGCACATGGCCCTGGCAGCTGCCTCGGCGAAGGCTTTTGGGAGGGTTAAGAAGGTTTAGAGTTTAGACTTGCGTGTTGAGGACAGATTTTCATATCTGCCTCCCTCTCTCTATATATATACACGCTACCCCCCCTCGGTTATCCACGCTTTTTGTGGTTGCTAACCACTTGTCTGAGAGGCCGCAGGCCTAGAGCAAGCCTAGAAAGACATAGAAGGGGAAGGCCATGAATTAAAACGGCTTGTAATTTGAAGATGCTTATTCATTCTCTGATACGACTAGAATACTCAGGATTCTACTTTTACAAGTTAGATATTGGGTGCGCCATGCCTAAAATGTAACTATTTCAGTTGGTCCGATTGCACAACTGGATGCATTATTATCATGTCTTGGAAGGCCGGAAAATATGGGAAAATGATAAACGAGAGAGCTCTTCAGTTTCCGTATTTACTGCGAAGAAAAACTGACTTCCACTTATGTCAGCGAGATTGGCCGGTGAAAGTGTTTTGCCTTTTAATTTGGGAGGCGCAGGCTAAACATGTACGTAGCTTAATAAGGACAACTGACTTCCACTTTTGTCAGCGAGATCGGCTGGCGAAGTTGTTTTTCCTTTGTGACTTGGGAAGGATTTTTTTGTAACTTGATTAAAAGCGTTGCTCTTTATGCTTTCTACTCGGTCACATACACAAAAATACCGTGTGCATTAGAGGCCGCTCGTTTTCAGTGATGAATAAACTAGACGCTAAATCCAATACACCGGCAATAACTCGGACAGTTTGACTAACGTGCTTGGAGGCCCAAGTCATGTGAAAGTCATATTGTTTTAGTGACAGGAATAACTGAAGATAATGCAGTACAGACAGCGACTAGCACAACCGAAGCGCCTAGTTTCCTTTTTTTGTAGTCAGGGTGGGCGAGTTATACTCATCGAAGCACAAGAACAAGGGTTTGCAACTTTTGCAAGCGATATCATTTGTAAAGTGAATAGAACAAGGCTTATACCCTCACTAATCGATAATTAGATGTGGGTTCTCCCATTTTATGAGTTTAGACGATTGAATTGATTTGGTCAGTATAGTTGGAGGTCACGTTTGATTCTTAAAATTTAAGATACGGAAACTGCAGAGCTCTCTCGTTTATCATTTTCCCATATTTTCCGGCCTTCCAAGACATGATAATAATGCATCCAGTTGTGCAATCGGACCAACTGAAATAGTTACATTTTAGGCATGGCGCACCCAATATCTAACTTGTAAAAGTAGAATCCTGAGTATTCTAGTCGTATCAGAGAATGAATAAGCATCTTCAAATTACAAGCCGTTTTAATTCATGGCCTTCCCCTTCTATGTCTTTCTAGGCTTAGTATTTATAAATACTACTTGAAAGGTCACAGATTAATACCCTCACTCATCATTATTTAGGTACTGATTCGCCTAATTTCGAAATGAAAAAAATCGAGTTGGGCTGGTCAGTATGCTTGGAGGTCACGTTGTTTGAACATGTAAACGTTTGAGTTGGGTTGGTCAGTAAAATTGGATGTCACGTTTAATTCTTCAATACTACCTAACAAGTCGGGAATTTATTGGCAGCCCCGCCCCAAGTTAAGCATGCGAATATTTCGGATATTTCAATGAACAAACATATTTGGAGCTCAACGGTCATTTTCAAAGTCATACTGCTTGAATGGCAGGAATGTTGAAGACAATGAAGGGCATCTACTGGGCCCATGTTTCCAAGTCCAAGATTGCACGGGGGGTGTTCGAGGGTAATCTTGGAAACATGAGCCCAGCTCGTGTTTCCAAGATTCGTCCAGAAGACCTCCCTGCAATTTTGGATCTTGGATCTTGGAAACGTGAGCTGGTGCAACTTGTACCGATTTGTACCATGTATCAGAAAACAGACGGAGAAGATAAGAACATACTGGGGCAAAACGTTGGGGGTGGAAGCACATGAACACCAAACGAGAACGCAGGAAACAAACAACAACAATAAACAGTAAGCCAAGACAGCGTGGATAACTGGGGATACCGCATGTACTATATGGATATATATATATATATGTATACACATATACATAGACATAGACATAAACATATGCTTATGCTTATGCTTATACATATACATATAAACATTCATATACATAGAGAGAGAGAGAGGAGCTGTGGAGGTGTGGGCTTATGGGTTGCGGAGGATAGGCCCTTGTGTCAAGCGAGTCCAGCTGACTTGCACAAAGTCACCTTCAAGCCTCAAAGTTGTGGAGGACATGGCGTTTGTTCTCGAAGGTCCGGTCCTGTCAGTTTTGACGATTGTCGTGTGATGTTTTTGTTTTTGCGATTTCGGGTTGGGTGAGGGCCTTCACATTTCTTAGGCCCGCAAATTTTGGGTGCATAGAAGATCGCAAAGAGGAATTCTGTGATGCTTGCTAGGGGTTCTAGGTTATGACGGCAGTTTTGGTGTCCTGCCCTCCTTTCGCGCTTATGAGCAGGCCACAGCTGTCACTGCGACCGCATCTCCGTGTCCAACCGCGACTCCGAAGGTGCGTGTGAAGGCTGGACGGCCAGCTACGCGTACATTCTTTGCCACCCCCCTCTTGCCTCTACAGCTTGGGGCCGGAAAGTTGTTGCCCACGTAGCTTTGCTAAACATGAATCTGTGTAACACAGCTTTGATCCCTCCTCTCTCGGCTGCAAGCAATTCTTGAGAAGTTGAACAGAAGCTAGAACATCTGCAAATAAAGCTTCTAACACCTACATAAAACCTAAACCTGTGCTGAAGAATCATCGATCCGAAGCCAACCAGGTGAAGGACGCCAAGGACCTGCGGACGGCGGGGGATCCAGACCTGCCGCATCAACCGGGCGAAGTCTGAGATCGCCAGCAAGGAGGGGGTTTAGGATTTAGGGGTTCAGGGTTTTGGGTTTAGGGGCACTAGGTCGGGATGGGGAGCGGGAGGGGGGGGAGTGAAGGGGGGGGGTTCACAGTGAAAAGCTCAACCGCGGTCCGTTTATTCAAAAGTAGTCACTGTAAGCTTGTCCATGTTGCTGCAGGTGCGAGAACCCCTTCTTCTCCACAGATGCATGAGTTGCGAGGCTGATCGAGGCTGCGGTAGTTTCCCCAGCTCGCTGGCTAAGCAGAGATGATTGAAGAGGAACATGGGACGGAACGGTCCCTTGAAAGAGACTGAAACCGTTCACCTAGAGTCACCTCTATGTCTTTTCATGAACTTTGAATGCAACCGGCAGGAAGGCCCCAGGTTAAACCTCTGGCCTCCCTCCAACCTTATCAAGCCAGTGGGCTGCTGCGAATTGCTGAGCCCGGCATGTCTTGCCTTGATTACTCCGTCAACAGCACTGGTGGGAACTCGGAAAATGTCCGACGCAAGGTGCCTTGCGGTAAGTTTGGGCGGTTTTGGGCCCTTGGCTTGAGTGGGGGGGTGCTTTGTCTGCACTGTGCTGTGAACTTGTTTGGGATATTGGTGCTACCGCTTTGGGGGAGGGTTGAGGAATCCTATCAATGGAGCAACTGGAGGTTCACGGGTACCCTTAACCCAAGTAAGTATTAGCGTAACTGCACTCAAAAGGTTATATGAAACTTATATCAGCCCCTCAGTGTCTTAACTTACGCGAAGGTCACGCAGTATCTCGACATGAAAACTTCCCAACTGGGGTGACGTCCCTGTGCTGTAGCGCCATGTGCCACAGGTCCTTGTGATGCGGTCAACAGTCAAGTCCTCAAACAGCCCAACTCCTGAGGCAATAGAGGAGATTTGATGGTTGCCCACGCAACGCGCAGAGAGGTAGACTAAAGCCTAAGAAGCCCCAAAGCGACCTTCTCTAATCAAATAACAAAGGGGATCTATTCATTTAGAATCTGGGGGTAACTCTATATATTTAAAATATTTAGGCGTATAGTTTTCGGAGGTCTTGAGGCTCCTGTATACAGTAACCCTCTCGGCATGATACATGAGATCGAAATGGCCTGGCGGAGGACGCGTGGGTTTTGCCGTATATGAACTTCCACATTTGACACGCCGGTTCCGGGTTTGGGGTTCAGTTTAGGGTTCAGGGTTTAGGGTTTTAGGTTCAACGCCGTAAGCCCTAACCCTAAACCCTACACCCGAAACCAGGTAAGGAGATGCCAGCCTGGCTCAAGGAGCCAGCGCCGACGAAGAGGCTGGCTATCCTATGGTGTAGGGTTTAGGGTTTAGGGTTCAGGGTTTAGGGTTTAGGGTTTAGGGTGTAGGGTTTAGGGTGTAGGGTTTAGGGTTTAGGGTTTAGGGTTTAGGGTTCAGGGAGAGTTCTTGTGCAAAGCGGCGATCGGTTTCGGCTTCGGGCTGTGGGTTCAGGGCCTCTAAGCCACAGCAGCCCTGGGTTGCAAAAGGGTTTTAAACCTTAAATCCTAAACTCTAAATCCTGAATCCTCAACTCTAAACCCTTAAACCCTTAAACCCTTAAACCCTAAACCCTAACGGTCAGTGGTTACAAATTCCGGCATCAGTGCAGCTACCGCTAGCGGAATCATCTTTCAAGTCCAATGCGCTGGAAGTCCGTGTTGGGCCGTTGTTGGGTTCCCGTGACCCTAAACCCTAAACCCTAAACCTTGAACCTTAAACCCTCCGATCTTGAAGTCTGCAGACTTCAAACTCCATGGGCTATGGGTTGGTGACAGGAATATGTTGTCCCAGGGCCCAAGAAAGGGCCCAGAACTGCGCACCTTTTAAACCCCGAAACCATCCTAAGCCCCAAAGAACCTCTTCAACCCCAAAATAAACCAGCGCCATGTCATGCCGGAGCCACTGAACCACCGAAGGCCTCGTTGCCGCACTCTTTGCAATGAGGCCCGGGGGGGTCTGTGGGTTTAGGGCGTCGGGATTTGGGTTTTGGGGTGAAAGTTTTGCTCTCAGAAGACACGCCCACTTGGGACAAGGCATGGTTTATGGGGCTTGCCTAAGATCAGGCGAGGCTGGGGCGCTGGCAGTCGTCAAGTCCGGTTTCCAAGAAAGGTTTGGGGACCAAGAGATTTCAAGAAAGAACAACTAGAAGACTTTCACGAGGGTTGTGAGGGGATGATGCCGGCAGTGGTTTGGGTTCCTGGAGGAGAAGACGTAGTAGCAGTCGTGGCTCGGATGGGAGAGCGGATGAGCAGCCGAGGGATGTGGAAGAATCTGGACAGGTTGTCCCAGAGCTCATAATATTCTATGTAGAATTTCCATTCATAGCACTTCTTACAGTGCTCCGCAAAAAAGACCGGTGGGAACTGTGGGAACCGCGCAAGAGAATCCACTTCTTGGTCTCGCAAGAGCCTTGATAAAGTTACTTCGAAAACACAAGAAGCTATATACTCACTACAGTATATACCCACGATATGCTCACTATATACCCACTATATACCCACTATACACTCACTATATACCCGTTCTGCAACATGGGAGTTTTTGATGTTTCTGGAGACCCTACTCTTGAATGACAGTACCCATGCGAAGCCGCTAAAGAGGCCTTGCAAGCATACCAGCTGGGAGTGCAGGGTTTAGGGTTTAGGGTTTAGGGTTTAGGGTTTTTCGTTAAGGGTTTAGGGTCTAGGGTTTAGGGTTTAGGGTTTAGGGTTTAGGCAGGACTTCTCTCAAGCCCGGAGATTTGTGAGCATGGCATCGCTCTAGTAAGACAACCGCAAAAGGCAGCTCACTTTTGACCGTGCAACCGCCACATACACGTATAAGGAAGCAAATATACATATATACTATACACGCACACACACACACACACACACCAGTCGCAGTAGTCAAAATCCTTACTCAGGGCAGTACCCAAGCTCTCGGGTGAGTCCCGAACCCTAAACCACTCCAACACGCCGCCAGGGTCGGCGGACACTAAAAAACCCTGAACCCTAAACCCTGAAAGCTACTTCGTCGTTTCCGCGGCCAGGCGGTTGGTGACGTGGTCGAAGCATGGAGCGATCCCCAGAAAGAGTTTAGTGTTTAGGGCTTAGGGCCTAGGGTTTAGGGCTTAGTGGGTTGTTAGGTTTTAGGGGCTAGTGGGTTTAGGGGGCTTAGGGGGTCGAGGGGGTTTAAAGGTTTAGGGTTTCTTTGGGTTTGGGCACGGACGTGGCCATTTGGGCTTTCACGGGTTCTTGTCCCAGATGCAAAAAGGCGCAGGGTGACGCGGGGGTCTAAATCCTAAAACCTGAATTCCGAAACCTAATAATGGCTCAACTCAAGAACTCAAGGGCGAAGGCCCTCAACCCCCCCCCCCCTAATTCTCAAACAGGTTTAGTATTGGGCTGGCTGCCGGGGGGGTCCGGGGAAAATAATATTTAAAATGAGGGGGGGTTTTAGCATTAGGGGGAAGGGATTAGTGGGGTTTGAGCTTCTGAACCTGTAAGCAAAAACCCTTCACAGCAGTTTTACTGTAAAGTTGTGATTGGGATCACTGAACTGTTGTTTTCCCAAAATATAATCTGATTCAGGGTATCTGCAACAATACAATGATCCTACGTCGACGTAGTCATGAACCTGCAAGTATTAAATTCTTTCGACCGAAGAATCTGGGACCCCGGACCCCATGCAGCCGAGCCACGAGGCGTCTCCTCTCCTCTGAGAGCCCGGTCGTAGACCTTGGGGAGTACTTCACCGATCAGTTCCTGTCCTTGAGCCACGGCGCGCGCCTGGGCTTCGGGTTTTGGATTTTTGCGGGGTTGGTAGGTCTCGGCATCGGCCACCCTCAGTCGACGTTCTGCCACGGAAGCCGGGGCCATCTAGCAGAATCTAAAACATGATGCAGTGCAGAAGCGAAGCATCCCTCTCTCCCTCTCTCCCTCTCTCCCTCTCTCCCTCTCTCCCTCTCTCCCTCTCTCCCTCTCTCCCTCTCTCCCTCTCTCCCTCTCTCCCTCTCTCTCTCTTCCTTCAGTGTCAGTGTCCCTGCTGGTAAGACCTGATGATGAAGGCTCGCTCATGTCGACACAGCCCTCGAGCTACCTCAGTGCCGAGGGGCCCTTGTTGGCGAGTCAGGCCAGCATTGGCCAATGACAGCAAATAGGATGCAGGGATGGCAGTGATGGCAGTAAAAAGAAGGACCGAAGAACCCATTCCCTCCTCTGAGAGACACGAAAATTGTACTATCATTTTGTTTACACCTAACAAATATTAATGTGTATGTATATATATATAGATGTATATATATATATATGTATATGTATGTATATTTGTATATGTATATATATATGTATATATATATATGTATATATATATATGTATATGTATATATATATATATATGTATATATATATATATATATGTATATATATGTATATATATATATATATGTATATATATATATGTATATATGTATATGTATATGTATATATATATATATGTATATATATGTATAGAGATAAAGAAACGCATACAGAGAGAGAGAGAGAGAGAGAGAGAGATTTATATATATATATATATACACATATTTATGTAGTGGAGGTGCTGGTCAACTACAGCAGCGGTGCTCTGCCTGCGGTTCGCATTTGGGGAGTGCTGCCCGTGGGGGGCTTACGAGTTGCGAATCGCATGAGACGAGGGTTTGTAGGGCTTAGGGTTTGAGTGCTTAGGTTTCAGGGTTTGAGGTGTAAAGGGTTTGGGGCTTAGGGGCTTAGGGTTTAGCATTTGAGTACCTTAAACGCTGCGACAACATGCAAACATTTTCCAAAATAGGGGTCCCCCCTTAACATATCCCTAGATATGCGAAAGTCTGCCAAAGTCCCTATTTTACATGCACCAGCAGCCCAAACCCTACACCCTAAAACCCAAAAGGTGTTTGGGGTTTCGGGTTTGCCCAAGATTTTTTGGGGACACTTTTCGGCAAGGATTTGCGGTGTCGGCTTTAGCGTGGAACTGCATTTTGCAGGCTGTTAGGGCATCCCCAGAAAAAATTTGGAAGTCCTGATTCTGAATGAAGGTGTCCAGCCCCTAAACCCCAAACCCTAAACCCTAAACCCTAAACCCTGAACCCTAAACCCTAAACCCTAAACCCTAAACCCTAAACCCTAAACCCTAAGCCCTCAGCCCTCAGCCCTCAGCCCTCAGCCCTCAGCCCTCAGCCCTCAGCCCTCAGCCCTGGGTTGAGTACTCCGAGGTCCTCTCCAAGCCCGGCCGCTTCGCAGCTGGATTCTGAGCTGTTTTGCGGAAGCTTCGAAGGGTTTGGTTTGGGTTTAGGGTTTAGGGTTTAGGATTTAATTAGGGTTCAGGGTTTCGGGTGGTAATCCGTTCGTTGTAGTGCGTAATTTGCTCTCTTTTTCCGGTTCGCGGCTCTGCCATCTTTGAACATGGTGGACTTGATGCGGAAGGCTTGGGCGCAGCGTGAGGGGACGGTTTGCATACGGCTGCATCATGGCAGGACCGATGTTCCTACCTGGTTTTGACAGGTCCTCAGCGTTCAGTCTGCTGAACCAAACCGTCCTGAAACCCCAAACCCCTCAGCCCTAAACCTGCGGGGAAACTGCATGCCGACAAGGCCCAAATGTGGAACATGCTCCGCTTGGACCAGAGCCTGCGAAGCTTCGGGCAGGTGGTTTCAGAGCTAGGGTTTAGGGTTTCGGGTTTAGGGCTTGGGGTTTGGGGGGTTTGGGGTTTCGGGTTTGGGGCTTTTAGGCTCTGTGGCATGGACAAGCAAAGATGCGTGCAGTTCGTTGCCAAGGTTTAGGGTGGAAACTTGGTCAGCGTTTACACTCAAAGCTTCGGGGGTTTAGGGTTTAGGGTTTGGCGGGGCACCCTTTTAGTAGAAGAAGGAAGATCGAATTTCCAGGGTATACAAGAGCATTGCTGTTTTGGGAAGAACCACCGGTACACAACCCTAGCACCGCGAGACCTCTGCCGCATCTTGTCCATCAGTTCAGGATGAGTGACAAGGTATACGCCGATTCATCGCTCTAGGGCACTCGGCGCGATGCAGAGATCGGCTGAGAATGTTTGTTGACTTGCATTGGGTTTAATTAGGGTTTGGGGCTTAGGGTTTAGGAAGAGTGTGGCTTAACGCTGTCGGCGTTTCTCATGTAATCGCCAGCACTTGTTAATCAGCGCGATCGGTGAAGTGCGACACCTGGGAACTGCCGTCAAGCTAACTACCCTCCACCCGCCCCAAGATGCTGCTGTGCGGATTAAACCCTAAGGCCTAAACCCTAAACCCTAATTTAGGGCCAGGTTTTTGCGTTTTCGGATTGAGGGGTACCCTCTTGTGGACTGACGGAGTGGTGCGGCAGGCTTTTCCCGCCTTGACTGATGGCTTCCTCCATTGCTACCTCAAGGCGCAGCTACACGACAGCCTCACATGCTGAGCCCTTTGTGATCGCTTGACTCTAAACCCTAAGCCCTAAACTGATACGGGTGGATTATGTGAAGGAGCCCGCAGGAGTAGGTTGCGCCTGGTTTTGCGAGAGGCTTGAGAAAGGTTAAAGACCGCAGACGTCCGTGAAGGCTGGCTTGGCGTTCAGGGCTTTAAGGCTGTTAAGGTTTCAGGGCTGGGCTTCAGGGCTGTACTCGTAGGGTCCTTAGAGTTTTGGGTTATGGCTTTGAGGGCTTTGAGGGCCTTGTAGGAAATTGTGAGGCTTTGAGCTTAATTCAGCGCTGAGCTGAAGCTCTAAGGGTCCGGCCGGGGGTGGGAAGCACGGTCTACAGTTGAAATCAGCATGCAACATTAAGCCCTAGAGCCCTGCACGACAACTGCACAACTCCTAACCGGGAGTGCCGCAACCCTAAACCCTAAAACCCTAAACCCTAAACCCTAAACCCTAAACCCTAAACCCTAAACCCTAAACCCTAAACCCTAAACCCTAAACCCTAAACCCTAAACCCTAAACCCTAAACCCTAAACCTCAACCCTAAACCCCAAACCCTGCAGGAAGCGCCCGGGGGTGCCTCCGCAGCAGCCTCTCCGTCGCATCAGCCTTGCTTTGCCCTATGTCCCCAAACACTATAGACCTGAACCCCAAACCCTGTAGTCCCTAGCCACCAAACCCTGTAGACCCTAACCCTAAACCCTAAACCCCAAACCCTAAACCCTAAACCCTTTATGCAGGGCTAAAGCTTCACTGTGTTGGCTTAGGATAGCTCCGGATAGAGCAACGCCTCTCAAGGCGCAAGAACCCAGGTTACCCTTGTACATCATATATATATATATATACACAT